TTACATTTATAAATTATTGCCTTGTCATTATTAAAGTCATTTGATATTCTGAGCTTTTTAATCTTTAATTTCTTTGTATGTTGACTGTCTCTAATATCCAAAGATCAATTAAATTTTATGAGTAAAACATGTCTAATATATAATTATAAATTTACTTTAAATTATTATAGAGTCTCTCAGAATCTCTATCAAATAACGATACATCTTTTTATGTTTATGTGTATTATTCAAGTATGTTTTAAATCAATTACAATTTTAAACAAACTTCATAGTCAGTATATTGGACAATTTATATTATGAAAGCTTATATGGAAACTGACAGAGAAATGCTTACGCATTCAATTTTCATACTCTTTCAGCATCCGTGAAACAGTGAATGCCCCAACTTATAAATGCTGAGCTCCACAGTTGTGTTGGTAAGTCAGCTATTTGCAATGTTTCCTCAGTACGTGGTCTGGAACAAGGTGAGAAGCACAAAGAGGTGAAACAGAGGCTGTGTGGGCTGGGACCAGGAAAATAGTCATCAGAAGACTAAGGCAAGCCCCATCCTGGATCTGTCAGGATGCAGATGGGGCTGCTGCAACATCTGGCCCGTTCTGTTCTCTTGTCACCACCAGTCTAGCTAAAAACTGTTTCCTGAATCCATGCTTATACACGATGAGAAAGCAAGAACTGCGGAGGCAATAGAACAGTGAGAATTCAGTCCTCAGGCTATAAGGCAGAAAAGAAGGGTGAGGGGATCAACCTTAGCAATGTGACCTAGAGGATCAGGAAGCTCCCAAAGCCATCTGGCTGGGTTGGTTGGTTCTCAGGACTCAAAACTTAAAACTCAGTTCAACCATAACTACTTATACTGCTCTGCATACTGCCCTCCACCTCCACTACCCTAAGCACTCTATATAAGTGCCCTGTAATTAATAAACATTTACTAAACATGTACATCAATGAATTAATTTAGTTTGATTTTTTCTTTCTTTTCACTCTAGTCAATTGCTCATCCTTTTAATCTAGCCAACTGCTCATCCTGTAGCCTATCTATGATTTATGAATATATTAACTACTTAAAGTTGCAGGCAAAAAGGCACATACCTGACACTTCATCAATCTACTTCCCTTCTGTGAATATCAAACGACCGTGTAATACAACAGCAACTGTCCAGATTCCCCCTGCCCCACCCACACGCATACTCAAATTCTAATCCTAAATCTGCCTATGGAAGTCTATGCCATTTTTTCCATTAACAAAGTCCTGCTCTTGTCACCATAAACCCTTCAATCCCTAGTCCAGTTTAGAAACAGCCACTGACATCTTCCTGGCTAGTCTCTGTGCTATGAGTCTTTCTCATCCAACTTCTCAGACCTAGACTAAATCCTTGCCAACATTAAGAGTCCTTCTTTAACAGGAAGCTGTTGCAGTGTCCATGAAACTTTTTAAAAAATTAATAAAAATAAATTTAAAAAGAGATTCTATAAAATAAAATATAAGTAATCTTTTATAAAGAAAAAGAGCATAGCTTTTCACTCTTATTTTCTCTTCCACAGATCAGGAAGATGATTAACTGTGCCTGCCACACATCACAAAACAGATTTTGAGAAATGTGTCACTGGGTATGTAGACTTCTTTTTCTTCCTTCCTTCCTTCCTTTTGTTTTTCATTCTTTCATTCCATAAATTAGTAAAGAGCATTTAAGTAAGATGAAAATG